TTGTTTTGTTTTGTTTTGTTTTGTTTTGTTTTGTTTTGTTTTGTTTTTGCCCTGGCCCACAATTCGATGAGACCCTAGGGAAGGGGGCGAAAGAATGAAGGGACAAGAGACACAAAGGAAGAGAGCAAGTCTCGTGTTCTGATCAAGCTCTCTAACTTTAGTTTCAGGAGGCAGATTATAAAGACACAGCAAAACGGGAAGTTTAGGCAAGGGTCATTGCTTAAGGTTATCCCACTATCAAATCCTCATTGTCTAAAACCATCCCACTGTCATAACTGGATCCCAGGAAATGCCAGTTGTTCTTTGAGTTCTTGGGATCTGAGACAGTGAATGTCCTTTCTTAACCTTGTACTTTAACTGACTAGGTTTTTCTAGAACAGCAGGTAACATGAACCTCATGAAAAACATAGTTAAAACAACAGGTTATTTTAAGGGTTTGGCTCTCGGCATGTTTTGTTTTATAGTGTGTCTTTCTCCTTGAGAGAAGGTAGAAAGAGTAGAGCGAAGCCTGTGGCCTGGTCATCACTTGTTCCCAGGCTTAGATGCATGGCAAGCATAATCTGTGCTTGGCTGTGATATGGCTGCCCAACGAATGAAAGGTTGTGTGTTGTCAGAATTTGACCATAACACAGGGTTAAATAAGTTAGTTGCCTGATTTTCCTGAGGATATTCTATAAGGTGCTAGAAATCTCATGGATCAGCTCATATCCTTCAGCCCATGAACACCATGGGGAAACATCTGGAGGCTATGGGGTTTCCATTGCCTTCCTGAGGTCTGAGGGTTTGAATGGAGACAGTGGCTCTTAAACTTCCTCATCTTCAAGTGTCACCGAGGGAGGTGTTCAATATGAACTCCAGAGTTCTCCACGTCAAAGGTAAATTCAGGCAAGCTGGCAGGACTTGGGCTTCTCTGATCTATATATGATGTATATATATTGGTGCCCAGGTGGCTGAGTCAAGTGATCTTCCAACTATGGAAAGATGGTCTTAAATGTCTGGATTAAATGTCCACAAAGAAACCCGGATGTCTGGCTTGGGGCAGTGTTTCCTTTGACCTCTGTGATGACCAAGGAAATAGATCCTACTAGGCATCTTCACTTTATGGAGAAGATTTTTGAGTCCTGGACACACAGAGACTTGAGGGAAGAAGCTAAGCAGGGTAATAGGGTCCAGAGGGCTTGGTGGCTATCAGTCTCCATCAATATGTATCCCTTACTTCAGCTCCCCAGCAACTGTCTTCTTTTGCTAGAAGTTTCTAGGGAATGGCAGTATTTAACAGCCACGATGCCCCAGCAGTGATAGCTCACCTGCAGGGACACTACCTGATTAGTGTTTTAAGTGTTGAGGGTTCCTTGTCAAGTTGTGCTTTTAGGAAACTTTGGGCCATCATTTGCATGAGCATTAGTAGCAAGCAGCATTCCTCTAAGATCCAAATGAGGCTTCTAGTTTCCTGAAACAATAGGACTCACACAGAGATGATGGGCAGGGCCTGCTGTAGGGACAGGGTGGAAGGGTGCAGCATCTCCATCCAGTCTGTTCTTATGGGTTCAGCAGAGATATCTGTGTGGGAGGAGCCTGCTTTGTAAATTTCCCACCTCCATGACAGCTCCCATTTCCTCCCAAGCTCAAGCAGCCTGTTGTCTCCTAGATGCTATGGAGATCCCTAGCTTTCTGTCTTTGCTCCTCACCTGACCTAAGGGAGGTGGCAGGAAATACAGGCCTTTTCTGCCTCTCTTCAGAAGTTCCTGTGGGCTTACAGGCCTCCCCAGCTCCTTCCCCAAGCACAGAGTAAAGAACGAAAGATGAACACTTTGTTCAGTCAATTTCCAGGAGGGAGGAGCCATGGAACCTATGGAATGGAATTGGGAAACATCAGTGATCCAGCATAGAGAGGGGACACAGCTGGAGCTTAAGGTGTGTCTCTTGGCCCGACGTACACATCACAAGTCAAGGGCTGTGGTGTCCCAGAGGTCAGGAAAATGGGTTCCTGCTGATTGGCAGGCAAAAAATGGATTTGACCAAGAGCTATATGGCGTTCTTATCTGTCACCCCATAGTTCTGTAAGCCAGAGCCTCCTGTGCCAGGCCCCAGGAGAGATGAGTGTCTAGGTGGGCCTAGGCTAAGGGGGTTGCTTGGGGCTGTTCAGGGCTGTTTCAGGGGTCCCTGGAAGACCTTACAGAGGCAGTGGGCTTTGGGCCAGAACTGCTGGTACAGCCTGTGGTGAGACATAAAAGTGGACCAGCCTGGTAAGGATCCAGTGGGATGGGGCTTAGTATGCATCCAGGAACATTGTCCAGTGGGTGCTCAAAAGTGGGCAGTATCTCCCAAGGTATGGTGAATGCTATCTGTGGCCGGTGGGGTAGATGTTTGTAAAGCCAGAACAAAATTTTTAAAAAGACAGGGAGGAAAAACCCAGATGTATTTAGCTGTCCAAAAAAAGAAGAAAAGTAGGAGGAAAGAAAAGGAAAGGAAGGATAGAGGGGGTAGGTAAAGGAAATCATATTCATTCTGAGGGAATTGACAAGTACTCACTTTTTAAAAATTGAATATTTTATGTACTCAGTACCTAGTCCTTCCCTTCAGTTTCTTCCCTCCCTCTCCCTCCCAGCTTTACGTACTTTTTATAATCCACTCGGTTCAATTGGTGTTGCTGGTATGTGTGAGGGCATGGGGCTATCTATTGGGGCATGGGCAATCTACCCAGGGACAAACCTTGGAGGAAAACTGATTAATTCTTCTCCTGCAGCTGTCACTACCAATAGTTCCTCAGACAGAGTGGTGCTTTGTGATCCCCTCCCCCAACCATGTTAGAATGCCAACTGGCTTGAGCTTATGCAGGTCTCTGAATTCAGACACAGCCACTGTGAGTTTGTGTGTTCAGTGG